AATTTTTGCTCTATTTTTGCTTTAATATTCAAAATCATTTTGCTTATTAATAGTTAGTAAGGTAGTGGTTAAGTTTAGGTATATTGGGAAGAATAATGGTAATAATAATTAAGATAATAATAGGGATGCTCCGATCGATCAGCTAGAAATCGTTATCAGCTGATAATCACATTTTATGACTCGATTGGTACTCGCCAATCTGGCCGATTTAATGAAACGATCGCAGGTGTTTGAATAAGATAAAATACCCCGGAAATCACGGAGATGAGAGTCAATTAGCAAGAGAGTTGATGACCTTGCATGTATTCATGTATTCTTTTTACATATATAAAAACTCAAAACTCTGTGTTTTTAGCTATTTTATCTATTTTTTTTTCTGTAAAGCTGCTTCTGACCATGACATGTGGTTATAAAAGTTAAATGTTTAAGGGATTATTTGGAACATCATTTATTTATTTTCTCAGGTAAGAGGAGATCTCCATTTCAAGTTTCCAACTCTGAGGGAAAATGTGCTTAATGCATTATAAAGCTCGAAGCATCAGAATTGGTAGTCAGTATTGGCCGATCAACATGACAAAGAATCAATGCTCGGTATCAGCTGCGAAAATTCTGATCGGAGCATCCCTAGATAATACATTATAAATGCTAACAAACAGTTTCTAAATAACAAGCAGGCAATAAGCCAGTAGAAATGGTGCGAGTTGTTACTTAAAGTGTTACCCATATTTATTACTATACTATCGTTTATGTTACTTTTTTTATTCACGTGCCTGGGTTATGTACCAACCAAAAAATAAAAAATAAATAAAAATACAGAAATTAACCCTCTATATGACCACAAGTAGATTAGTGTGGTTATTGAGTTTTAACGTCAACAAACTGAAAAAGAAACACACACACTTATGTAGATTAACATGCTCTCTTGTAAATAAATGCTAATACACACCTGAAGTTGACTGAGGGAGTTCAGTAATGTCGGTTTCATCAGGCTGGTTGGTGACTGAATTGCTCTTTGTGCATTTGGACGACACACAGTCTGAGCCTGATGATCTTCCTGTGAATGAAGTCAATGATAAATGACAATTTATTTCAGCATCATAAACAATTCACAAATGTTTCTATTGGTAGACTAAATAATAATGAATATAACTGAAAACAAGCAATTCGACAAAGCGGAAGCTCAAACAATGCTGTAATTCCACTATAGAAATCTCACCATAGATTGTGACTTGGAAGTAGCTGCTCTGTCCTCTCAGAATCATTAGGTTATAACGTCCCGAATCAGTAGATCTGGTGTTTGTTATGGTCAAAGATCCAGTCTGATCTAACTTTAGTCTACCCCTGAAAGTCTCTTCTGGACCATCATATGTGGAGTTGATCTTTGCGAGTCTGTTGACTTCAGCTATTCGAGTATTTTCAAACATCCATTGTATCAGCAAATATCTTGATACCTCATCAATATCAGTGTGTAGGGTGAGAGGATCTCCCTCCTTCACTGATATGATCTTCACTTCCTCCGTCATATCTGAATAACAAACCCAAGATGTTTTGTGGAAACTTTACAAAAATGTTATGCTAAAATAAACCACTTATGGTCAAGAGCCACTAGGCAAGCAATTTCGTATTTAATAGACATCTAATAGATGCCTAAATATAAATGGCATGGCTAAAACAATACTAAATTTGGGTTGTCTGAAAATCTAATAGACGTCCAAAAACAGCCCAAAAATTGGACTAGTCATCAGATTAGACAGACAGTCAAACCAGTCTAATTTTGAGCTGTTGTACATCTGCTGGATTTTTCACTGACAGGTCAAAATAAGCCTTGTTTAGCTACACCATCTAGGTTTAGACGTCTATTAGACATCTTTTTAAACAGCTAAAATGTGCCTGCTGCATAATGAAGCAGGATTGAACCTAAATGATTTCAATTAAATAAAAATTTCAAAGTAGAATTTCTCCTTAACAAAGGAGGAGATGAATATGAGGAAGAGGTCTCTTAAGACAGTTCATTATGCGTGAAACTGAAAAATGTTGATGAGCATAACTGGACTGATTTGTTCCTCTCTTTATATTTTCTTCTGGACTCATTTCCACTTGCAAACAGAAGTGAAACATAAAAACGTGATCTGTGGATCAGTTTTAGTCTTATTCAGACAGTTCTGACACAACATCTTTTAAAGAAGTGACTGGAAAAATCTCAGTTAAAATGGTCAAAATGAAATAAAAATAACACGCACATATAAATACATACATACATGATAAATCAGTGTTTTAGCTTCAGTTTAGAAAGCAAAATTGAATGGAAAAATGCCCAATTCCTAATCAACAATTTAAACATCTGTTACTCGGGCCAATTGTTAAAAAATTGTCTATTTTGTGTTCAACAACAAAAAAAAAAATCTCAAACTGGTTCTGAACAAGGAAATTACAGATTTTTCATGCGTGTTAACTTTGTCTTTAAGAAAGTTTATGCTCCTTGAACTCAAATCTCTTTTTTTTTTTGAGAGTTACTGTTTTCACTGTTAACTGCTTTCAAAAGAATTTGGAAGAAATATTCAGAGATTTAAAGAATAAATAAATAAATAAATAAATAAATAAATAAATAAATAAATAAATAAATAAATAAATAAATTTATTCATTAATAAGCACTTTACACAAACACAAACTGGTACCCAACTGCTTCAAAACCAAATTTCAATGTTTTTTTATAGCTCTATGTATATAGAAAAATAAATAAATCTGACAGTACACTAAAACAAAGAAATATCAACTTACCAACCGAATGCCACAAGCACATTGAGGTCAAAACAAGAGCATAAATCATATTTACTATCAGTTTCCTCATCAACACTGTGAGAAAATGTCTCAGAAGCGTCCTGTTCACACCACAAACAACTTTGGCAATGGATGTCACAAGTGCAAAGTGAATCAGGTCACCAGTAGGCGTTACTAATGGACGTCATGTAATAGTATATTGCTGACTGTAGATACAGCACAATCTTTTAACAAGAAGTATTTTTTTTTATTAATTATAGTGTAGTTATTCTATTACCACAATGTAAATAAATACATTGTACAATTTCTCATTAATAAAAATCACAGTTAAAAGGTAAGGTGTTTCATATTGGTTGTAATCTTTTCTAGATGGTCAGCTTATATCGTCCTGAGTGTCTGATTCTGATGTTTCTGATGGTGAGAAAGACAGTTTTTGGATCCACCTGCACTCTTTCATCGAATCTCTCATCATCGGTTATGAAAATGGAGGTTAAATCATTCTTTCTTGTTATTTGAGAGATGAGAATTTCTTTAGACCCAAAAACCTAAACTAGTGTGTTTCTGTTCAGTATTTCTAAGGTTGGTTTGTAGAGTCACAGAATCTCCTTGCATCACTGATGCAGTCTCTTCTGCTTCTGTAAAGGCCTCTGGAGAGCCTAAATGGACCATGAAAATGAGCTAAAGCTGATGCAACAGAGGCACTCTCAGTAAACCGATTTCAGCAAAAGAAACCAGCATGTAGACCAGACTTGCAATTCTGTATTTAATAGGATAGTCCACCAAAAAATGAAAATTCTGTCATCATTTACGCTCGTGTTGTTCCAGTCCTGAATAAATGCCATTGTTCTGCTGAAGACAACAGAAGATATTTGGAGGAATGTCAGTAATAAATGGCTCAAGGTCAGCAAACAAAAGATCTTTCCACCCATTTACTCTCATAGCATTTATTTTTCCTTCTAGCAGTAAATGGGTGGTGAGATCTGTTTGGCTGGTGGCATCATAAATATTTTTGGTTGTGTTCAGCAGAACAATGAAACCTAAACACTCGATCAACCTGAGGGAGAGTAAATAAGTGTTCTTTTTGGGGGAAATTATCCCTTAAAAAAATCTGTTAATGCTGAACTGTAAGCCTCTTGTACTTCTGCGACATCATCTTTCTCTCAAAAATTGGTTTCCCTTGTTAACTTCTAGAACTTACAAATAAATGGTACGAAGGAATGGTGATATTATTTGACTTAAAAATATATATGGCAGAGCATAAAAAGTACACATAAATATACTTTGATGGGTCAAAAGGCTATCATACATGCCAAAGTTTAATATAACAAAATGTAAAATAATTAATAACAAACTCTCTGTGTTCACAGCTGAAGTTGTAGGAATAATTTTAGGATTACGATGGGTAGAAGTAAGACCTGAAAGAGCGGTCATTTGTTCAGACTCTGCTGCAGCTCTTAATAGCTTGAATTCAAACGAAAAAGAGGATTTAGTTTTTTTTGAAATATTCGTTATAAATAATTAAATTTAGAAGGAAATGGAACTTAATGAACTTAATTATATTTTATCCCAGCTCATACTGATGTGGGAGAAATTAAAAAGCAGATGTGATTGATAAAAATGCACTAATTAAAGAATGAGGAATTAATGAAAATCCCATTTGGTAAAGGTGAAGCCAAATCACTAATTAAAATAAAGTTAAAGAATTATGGCAGAAAAAGTGGCACAAGGTTAACAAAAGTCAAGATTTTTACAACATTCAGAAGTCATATAATAGCAAAACTTATTAGAGGAAATGCAGGAGTGAAGAAGGGATTATAAGGACTTGTATTGACCAGTTTAAAATCCACCCTCGTGTTAATGGGGAAAACGTATAAGATAAGTGTGATGAGTGTAATGTTCCAGAAAATGTAGAGCACATTATTATGAAGTGTAACAAATATAAAACAGAAAGGAGAATCTTAAAAGATAAAGTTTTAGAGGATCATAGGGGTCTGAAGAAAAAATGAAGGAAATTAACAAAGGTCTCTTGAATTTCCTCAGAGATACAAGACTGGAGGAGCACAGAATATAGGTAAGGGGGAAATAGTTTTTGATGTAACCACACAGTGTAAATGAACCTTTGAATTTCCCTGTACAGTAGGTGGCGGTAAGTACCTAGACACTTTGGTTGTAACCCACAATGAAAAAAGAGAAAGCGAGCGAAAGCGAGAGAGTTGTTACTACACCATTTGATGCTGAATAGTGGGAGTGTCGGAGTTTTGCGGCGGAACTTCGGGTCCACATCTATTTGTTTTCATTAAACGTCTGTTCGTCTCGACACTGCATGTCTTGCAAGAATAAACGTACACGTTTTAGTCGCGAAAGAGCTCTGAATGCAGCGGTATTCTCTCTCGCGGTGTGTTTTTGGCAAACACCAGATTGCGGCTCGATCTGTTGAACCTGGGTGCGGCAGAGGAAACAACAGCGCAATCGAGAATCAGTGGAACAGAATAAGAAGAAGCTTAAAGTATCCCCGTTAAACATCTGTAACACATACATAAGACTAAAAACATGCAGACGAGTTTTCTGTCCGTTTGCTTTTTACTTTTGGGAGGTAAGTACCTAGTTTTCTCTGTTTTGGTTTCACATTTCAGAGATCCCTGAACTGACACTGAAGAACACATCCTTAATTTATAAACAACGTGGAAACAATGACACAAATGCAAAAATGGATTTATCGAATGAACATATTACCGACTTTGTTTGAGGTTTTAGCGAACCGAAAGTGAAAGTGATCTCTATAAACCGGTAGGCGTCATTCAATCATCAGAATGACAGACATTTTGGTAGATGCACAATAGACTATATTTAGCAAATGTGTTAAAAACTATTAAAAGTGTTTAAGTTTTGACCGTTTAATGACTGCAGTGTTTTTAGATAACCTATTACTTTATGCCGTGCTAATCACACGTTAATGAGGAAAACCCGTTGCTTTTCAGATGTAAACATTTATTTGCATTTAATGTTGATCGTTGTGTTCATAGGTAAAATGTTAGGCCAATTTAAATGTTCTGGTGGCCTAGACTTTTAATCAACCATTTAATTTTTTGAATGTTTATTCAAACATTCATATTTAATATCATGTTTTTAAAATAAAATACAGAAAAAGTGATTTATGAACTGTTTTGTTCATTAACGGTGTTTGGGATCATTATCATGGATAATAAAACTTTTAAAAATTAGGTGCAAAATTCTGTCTGTGCATTTTAGTAATTTAGACAATTAACACCACTGGTAAAAATGCGTCAAACAAGTCTGGTGCAGTTGCAATCTAAGCTGCATGCAATGTTTTTTAATGCACACACCCAATTTCCCCTCACAATTAGGTAACTAGCTTAGTTGCTTAATTGAGTGCATTGAGTCTCTGACATTGCAAGTCCAAAACTTGCAGTTTCAGATTGTGTAATCAAGGCTGCATCTACAGTAGATACTATTGTTGGAGTCTTAAACCAAGGTTTTGTTATCTCAACCCAAATAGTTGATTTGACTCGAAAATAGCATGGAAATCCTTTGACTTAAACCACTTAAAATTTTTACACAAGGTGAACCTAAACAGCCCATGTGAATACATAGAACCTTTATAAACATATAAATGATATATTAATTAAACTAGGGCTGTTTAGTGGGTAGACGGCAACAGGTGTCCATGCGATTTTTCAAGTCAACTACCTCTGTTCAGTGCAAATTTTCTTCCACTCCTCTCCAACTCTTTTATTCAAACATTGTAAACTATTGAGACCTAAGTATTTCTAATTTTAATGTCTATTTTCTGCTATTATTCTACTTTAGACGTGAGAAGTAATTATATGCAAGTAATGCCATTGCTAAAACAATGCCTGAGAGACATTTCCCAAACATTTAATATCACAGATCATATGTCACATGTTGCAGAAGTAGTATAATACGTAGAGACTTACATTTCAGCATCACCAACAGAAAAACAACCTGATTTATATTTTAAGGGATAGTTCACCCAAAAAAAGAACACTTATTTACTCTCCCTCAGGTTGTTCCCGTGTAAAAATTTTCATTGTTCTGCTGAACACAACAGAAGATATTTTGGATTACACCAGTATCCAAAAAGATCTCATAACTCATTTACTGCTATAGTAAGAAAAGTAAATACTATGGGAGTAAATAGGTGAGAAGATCTTTTGTTTGCGGACCATCTTCCAAATATCATTAATTATGTTCAGCAGAATAAATACATGTTTACAGGATTGGAGCAACATGAGGGTGAGTACATAATGACTGAATTTTCATTTTTTGATTTTTGACTATCTATTTGAATATGGCATTGCAAGCCTGGTCTACATGCAGGTTTAGATTTGTTTTTGCTTAAATGTTTCACATTAAATTGCTTTATTGAGATTGATTCTGTTGCAACAGCTTCAGCTAATCTTTTATGGTCCATTTATGCTCTCCAGGGGCCTTGGGTACAGATGAGACTGTATCAGTAATGGAAGGAAATTCTGTCACTCTACAAACCAACCTCACTGAAATACTGAATAGAGACACGCTACTTTGGGTGTTCGGGTCTAAAGAATTTGTCATCTCTCAAATAACAAGAAAGGATGATTTAACCTCCATTTACATAACAGATGATGAGAGATTCAGTGGCAGAGTGCAGGTGGATCAAAAAACTGGATTTCTCACGATCAGAAACATCAGAATCAGATACTCAGGACAATATAAGCTGACCATTTCCAGAGAAAAGACCACCATCAAGACATTTAGTGTTTTTGTATTTGGTGAGTTTCTTAAGAGTACCTCTTTTATACATGCATGTGTATTAGGACTGGGGTGATAAACTGATACATTACAATCAACTAGCCTAGAGCAGGGGTTCCCAAACTTTTCAGCCCGCGACCCCCAAAATTACAATGCCAGTGACTCGTGACCCCCAATATTCTCTGAGGTGGTGGTTATAAATACAAAAACCTTGTATGCAATGACGCGCACAAACACACCAATAAACCCAAGTCTATTCTTTGTTTTTTTTTAATGTATGTCAGTGCTGTAAATGGGCTAGAAAGTTTAACCTGGTGTTACAAAATCTGCTGCATCTGACAGTATTGCTGTGTCTTTAGTATAATGTAATTACCCGAGAAGTCGCAATCCAATAGAACTAGTAACTATAGGCTACTATAGTAACTATAGTTTATAGCAACTATAAACGACTATTTTTTTCTCTTCAGTAGGTTATTGATAAAATACAGTAAGTCTTAAGGTTTAATAAAAATTAATTGATTTTTGAAAATCACCAGGCGACCCCCCTTCATTGTCCCGCGACCACTCGGGGAGGTCCCGACCCCCACTTTGAGAACCTCTGGCCTAGAGCACCATCTGCTATTAAACTAGCTTAGAGCACAGCCTGCTTTTTTAAACTAACCTAAAGGCTTGCCTAAAGTGCCATCTGCTGTAACTAGCCTAGTGGTTCCTAAAGTGGGCATTGGGACTAGGGGTTAAAGGCTTAATGATTTTTTTGAAGTCAACTTTTATGTCATTAAAGTGAGGTTGACGTCAACTAGTTGCTGGTGACCTCAACAATAAAACATATGTTGCTTATGTTTTGCAACATGCCACAATTTGCTATTTATTTGCAGAAAAAAAATATATGTATTCACATGCTGTTTGACAGCTCATAACATGGTGCATAAACAAGGCAGCATTACACTGACTAATTATAGTGGATAACAATAGCATCGTCTACACTTTCATTGCGTTAATACAACATTAGCACGGGTTAATATTAGTGCAAAATAAATGCAGAGAACACATTGATCGTGACACTCATGTACTACTAAATATTCATCAAAGGCGGCAACACCAAAGCTCCAAAAATACAAATTTATTAAAATAAAAAGGCTGACACAAAGTGTGTAACATTTCGAGCCACACGGCTCTTCATCAGACAGTATTCATCACAATCAGGTGCTCCTTTTTGTATACTTCTGGATCACATGACATCCTCTCGCATATGTATACACATATACATACATGCATACATATGTATACATACATACATACATACACACACACTCATTCATAGATTATACAGCTTAGATATCTCAAGTGAAAATACAAAAATAAACCTTAATATTACATAAATTATAAACAAAGAAAAGAATGTACCAGGATACAACTAAAAGTAGCCAAAAAACATTTAACCAAACAACTAATTAAACATTAAAGAATTATTAAAGAAGAGGATGAATGTCAAACTCCTTGTTTAAACCTTTTGGAGACCTGGGGTCCTATCATACACCCGGCGCAATGTGGCGCAAGGAGCAACGCAATTGTTGTTTGCTAGTTTCAGCTGGGCCAAGAGTCGTTTTGACGTTTTGCTCCACGCTGTTTAAATCGCAAATCCATTTGCGCTCATGGTTGAAGTGTTAACTCATTTTATTTTGATGATATTTGTGAGTATAGATTTTGAGTGTTGATGTGAAAAGCACTTTGGTAAACATTTTTTTTGTTTTTAAATGAACTATATATATAAAAAATAATAAAAACAGACTAAATTGACACCCTTAACAGCTCTTATGTACATTAACAATAAATACGGTTCATGACTGAACATCGAGGATGGCGGGTTGTGGGCTAAAAAGTTTAGCCTAGAGTGCTACCTGTTGTTAAAAATTAGCGAAAAGCACCTTCTACTTTAAAAAACTAGCCAGGAGCACCATCTGTTGTTAAAAATAGCTTAGAATGCCATTTGCGGTTTCTAGCCTAGACTGCCATCTGTTGGTAAAAAGTAGTCTTGAGTGCCTTCTGCTGTTATAAACTAGTCTAGAGTGCCATGTGCCACTAAAAACCAGCCTGGAGTGCCATCTACTGTTAAAAACTAGCCTATAGTGCCATCTGCTGTTATAAACTAGCCTATAGTGCCATCTGCTGTTATAAACTAGCCTATAATGCTACATGCTGTTAAAAACTAGCCCATAGTGCCATCTGCTGTTATAAACTAGCCTATAATGCTACCTGCTGTTAAAAACTAGCCTAGAGGGTCATCTGCGGTTAAAAACTAGTCTAGAGCCCCATGTGCTGTTAAAAAACTAACAATTCATGAATTACAATGCATCGATTTATCATCCCAGCCTTATTACTTATATGAAAAATCTTGCAAGTGATTCTAGATGGAAATCTGTAGAACAGCTAAACATGTTTTAAAGAATATTTCTGATTTGATTTGTTTTCCAGCTGTAGTCGAAAAGACAGATGGAGTGAAGTCTTTGTCAGTGATGGAGGGAGATTCTGTCTCTCTACAGAAGGACTCTACTGAATTACAGAGGGATGATCTGATAGTGTGGAGGTTTGGAGATAAAGGCCTTCTCCTAGCTAAAATTGATGTAGAAACTAACGAGACTTTATTAAATGCTGATGATGAGAGATTCAGAAACAAACTAAAGCTGGATTATCAGACTGGATCCCTGACCATCAAAAATGCTAGAACCGAACACACTGGACTTTATGAAGTACAAGTCAGTGGCCGCGAGAGCTCACAGCAGTTCCTGCTTTCTGTCACCGGTGAGTATCAAATTATGAAGACTTTAATAGTCTAAAAAAATATAAAAGTATAAAAAATATAAAGTATAAAAAAAAATAAAAAAAATTAAAAATAATATACATACAATAATATACATTCATTAGGAACTTAATTAATAATTTTTAAATGTAGAAATACAAAAATCTCAATACTTTAGGATAAGATTTTTTTTATGTTGAAATATAAATCATCACAATAATATATATAAATTAGAGGTAAAAACCTATACTTAATTTGTCTTCGTAAAAAAAGTTTCATTTGCAAATAAGTTTAAGTTAATTGCAAGAAGTTTAAGCTCAAGTATCAAAAGTTACTTAGCTTGGTTGTATCAAATGTTCTTGTTGCAAGCTAAAGATGTAATGATATCAACATTAGAGCTACATTAACAGCTATAATAAGACCTCTGCATTTGAGTGTTTATTGTGCATATGTGTTAAAAGCAAACACATTAAAAAAAACAAGTTAAAGCTTATCAAACGTAAATATTTGTTTAAAAATTTAGTCTACATGATTGAACGGGAACATGATTGTAAATTCAACAATCTGACACGACATTAGAAAAGTAACAATTACCAAGGTGTTTAAAACACAGTAACAATACCATGCATGTTTATAGCAAACCTTTCTATCTATGCTTGAATTCAGACTCTTTAACTGACAATATGTGAAGAGTTTCTAACAAACATGCACTTTTCTCTTCAGCTCCACATCATTCAGGTCTGCCTGCAGGAGCCATAGCTGGAATAATTATCATTGTTCTGTTGATGGCTGCATTTGTAACTTTTATTATTGTTTATTATTATTATCGCCGCAAGATCTCAAAACTAGAACATGTGGGTAAGTAATGATTCTAACACAAACTAGACAAAAACAAACTGCTACATAAATGCATACTCATTATTAGAAATAAGTTGGAAAATATTTGTTTCTAACCAAACTTTAATTGATTGTTTCTGACATGTTAAAATCACTAAAACAAACAGTATGAAAAAGTATGTTTCAAGTACATTTTTATGTATGCTAAAGTAATGTTGAAGTATATATTTAAAGTATACATCATGATATACATCAACAACTGAATACCATTTAGGACTATTTTCAGTTTAGGCTCCTCAAACATGCAATTTAGTCTCAGAATAGCCTGAAGCTTTATTTCTGAAACTGGGGAAATATGTGAAAATAAAATGAATAGGTCACTCAATTAAGAGAATAAAAATAGCTTAAAGCCAAGTATACTTACGGTAGAATATGAAGTTATGCTTTTAAGTTTATCTATGACAAAAAAAACAAAAAAAAAAAAACAAGTAGGCAACATACAGTATACTACCGACTTTTCTGTCAGTATAAATGTTTTCTGTCAAGTATACTTGTGCAATTTTAATTATATTTCTGAATTTTTAAGTAAGTACTTAAAAGTAGACAGTGTACTTTCTTATTTTTAAGTTTACAAGAACTAAAGTAACAACATACATAACTAGTAACCTTTTTCAGAAGGGTAGCAGCAGCATGGTAAAACATGGCAACATTTTTAAATTGCTACCATTTTTTACCACATTGTTAACATGATTTTCAAAAGCATACTTTACTGAAACATACTATACAGCCGCTAGCAATGCAGTAAAACATGATAGCAGACTTTTAAAACATGCTGTCAACATGATAGTATATTTAACATAAAAATGTCCCAAATCAAGCTAGCTACATAAAACATACTCTGTAAAATCAAGCTTGTTCTTACAAACATATATGTTTTCTTTTTCTATGTGCAACTGTGACAGATGAAGTTGTAGTTGAAGCTAAAGTAGAAGCTGAAGTGAAAGAGAAGGAAGGAAGAACTCACTGTCTAAGGACTGGAATGAAACTGCAGGAGGATGATGAGATAAAGTGGTGGTTCAACACAAATCTCATTGCTAAATTCAGTGGAGGTAACTTTACATCATATGAAGATGATAATGTGAGATTCAAAGACAAACTGTGGAAAGCAGACAAATATGGAGATCTGCTCATCACGAACATCCGGAGCATTCACTCTGGAGTCTATAAAGTGGAGGCCAAAGGCAAATCCAAGATAATAACTGTTACTGTCGAAGGTGAGTACATTATTAACTGAGTCAACTGTTCAGACAATTTGTACTGTGTCGACAAAGATTTTCAAAATGCTTTAGTTATTTTCAGATGCTTTTTTTATTTGAGTTAGTGCCATCTCTAAAAAACAGATTGAGAAACTTCTCAGAAAACGATTTCCTTTGGAAACTAAAAGGTCTACATAAACATAACCATTTACAATCATTCAAAATCCAACCCAGCTTTTAAAACCTCAAGCATTTAAAAAGTGTTAGCTCACCCTGAAATAAAAATTCTGTTATTAACTACTGGCCCTCGTGTTTCAAACATTAGAGACCTTTATCCACCTTCAGAACACAATTTAAGATATTTTAGATGAACTCCAAGAGCTATATGTTCAAAGTGTAGAAAAAGAACCATTGAAGCTTAAATGATAAATACTACAGTATACTGTACTAATTCATGATTTGTGAATTGACCTAATTTCCTCAAAGGGTGATGGACTCAAACTATGAACAAAGCAAACTAAAATGTTATTAATGCCATCTTAATGTATCTGATGTTGAAAACACAAACTAAATTTAATTTACTGTTTTCTGTTTTTGTGTGTTGCTTTGGCATGAAGATAATGAAGTGCCAGTGGAGGTGGGAGATACTCTAATTTTCAACACTCATGTTGAAACAAAGCCTGGTGATCTGATTTTGTGGACGTTTGGAGCTACACATCAACTCATTAAAGCTGAATCAGGAGAGATCAGTATTAATGATGAGAGATACAGAGACAGACTGGAGCTGGACACTCAGACTGGATCTCTGACCATCAGAAACATCACAGATGAAGACTATGGATATTTTCATCTACAGATCATCAACAAAGAACGGACGAGATTCAGGAGATTCAAAGTTGTCAAAAGTGAGTAGAACTAAATTTATTCAAATAACTCTTTATTTCTGCACAAGTGCCATTTTTTTACACATGGGTGACAGTGTTTTAATCTTTGAATCTTTGCATATATTTCCACTCAAGGTCAAAATGCAATTTCAAGTCAAAATGAAATATGTCAGCACTTCAGCTCATAAGGGATATTATGCACGAGTAGGCACAGATCACAAATTTTGTTACTGTAAAATGTTTTATTTATTAGTGATGCTTAAAAATATTTTAACTTTTCAATTATAATATTTATAAAGCAGCAAAAGCCAAGGCACTCAAAAAGTAAGTAAAAAAAAAACTTTACTAACTTGGCTATTATTAAAAATAACAGCCTCATTTAAAAAATATTTTAACAGGGCTTTTTTTTTTTAAATAATAGTCATGTTAATAAAGGCCTTGAGTGCCTTGGATTTATGATTTTGTTGTTTACCTTCATGAATCTCTTATCCAAAGAGCATAAACATGTTAATTACGCCTAAAACACTTTTTGTTAGATTTTGAATTATATTATTAATGTTTTCACTATTTCATTATCAGTGGCCTGATTTTGTAGGAGTGTGCAGAATTTACAGATATAATCTCTCTCTCTCTCTCTCTGTATAAATGAGCAATATCACATGAGTAGCAGTGGAATATGTCTGTATATTAGCACTGGTGGGAGATGTGTGTCCCACCAGTGACAATATACAGCCATATCCCACTGCTACGAGTGTGATATTGCATTTATACAACAGTTCGACGGCATAATCATTTATAAAAAAAAAATCCCTTTTGTATGAGGGATGACTTTCTTCCGCCTTTCATTCACATCTGTGGCTGTGGTCAGAACAGCAAAAACTGTTACTAAGTCACCAACATCACTTTAAAGTTACTATTTGACTGATTCTCTTGCGTAATGTCTAAAGTGATGACAAAACAGGTGATTTTGCTCACATTTTAAGATTATAAGGCTGAACAGAAGTCCTATCAGTCTACAGGGATTTCCCAGTATTTTTCTCTTGGAATTGGGAGATAACAATAAATATCATCTAAAAATCCAAAGCAAAGCAATCACTACCAGATTGCTGTTGTGTTTGTGATAGGTAAAAATGCTTAACACTTTTGGCCATTTCTTCTTTCTTTTTACTGAAGTAGTCTGCAGTAAGGAAAACAGGAGACTCACTAGAAACTAAAAGATAGCCATTTAAAAAGTAACTCGGGCTTATACAAAGTGTGGCCAACACAAAATACATATATTCCTGATATGCGAGTCCTATCTCACACTCAATACTCTACATTTGCTATGTCAACCCTCTTTGCTCAATGACAGGCTAATGGCCACCGACAGAAATTTATAATTTCTGTCTCTCAGAGTATAAATACTTTAAAATAGGCACTGTCCTTATAAATAAACGGCATAGTTGTGAACTAAACAACTACATTCTTGAATAAAAAAAAAAATCATCAAAAGGACATTATGTTGTCCAACAGCTGCAATATTTGTCAAACTGTAGAGTGTCCTCTGCTTGTTGCTATATGTGGGTGGAGTTATACACAAGGGTGAAGGGTGCTGTTATTTGGACAATATTGCATGGCTATCAGCCAGTCAGATTTAAGAACCAGAACCATTATATACACACTGTGCATACAAAGTATATTAATTTATGTTTTGTAATGTTAATCTCACACACACACGCATTCACGCATGCACACACAGACACACACACATTATTCAACGTTTTAAGTGGATCAAAACCTTCAGAGTTGTTCTATAAATATTAAAGACAATTTTTATTACCATATTTAGGTTTCATGTTGGTTTCAGAATGTTTGGATACTCAAAAGTAGCTTTTACATTTGTAGATGCATGTTGGAGAAACATTTTGTTTTTCCCTTTTTAAATCCTGTGATCTTGATTTTCTTTCAGAAACCACAAGAAGGAATGTTTCGAATGAACAACAAGAAGAGAGAATACCGCTGCAACCAAGATAAATGGTTTAACTTGACTTTTCAGTAACACTTTAAAATAATGGTCCATTACTCAATAACGTGAACACAGAGCATTAAGTAATGTTAACAAGCACAACATTGGATTTTAAAAATGCATTAGTAAATGTTAAACTATGGTTAATAAATGCTATACAACCTTATTCATACTTAGATAATGTTAGTAAATAAATACATTAGCTAAAATTAAATGATGGACCATTATTCTAAAGTGTTATCGACTTTTCTTTATTTAAAATGTGATCTCTTTAAGTTAATATTTACTTACGGACTCTGAGGAAGAGTAAAAGCAAACTGGCATTTCACACAAATATCAGAAGTGTCACGGAAGGCTGATCTCAGGGTCTCGAAAGGTGCTGGTAAAAAACAACAAACTAGAAACAAAACACTGAGTGTGGGGAAGTAAAATTCATCATTAGTGGGCAGACAGTCAGGGGCGAACCACATGACACCAGAACCCATTTCACAAAGTTGGACAAACTCTTGAGGGCCTTCATTACACAGCTGCGATCAAGCACTGAGTTCAGTACAGCAAACAGAAAATTACATAAGCAGTCATTCGGGAAGGTAGTCTGATGGGTGAGATCTGGGAGATAAATAAATAAAAAAATCAATACACTAGAAACAAAACACTGGGAGAGAAAAAAACACAGAAAACTCTATTGGGTTTCGTCCTTCGTCTTTTCAAACTATTATAGTTAGAAATTTTTATACTTTCCATATAAACATCAGCATTTTTTAAATAATCATGTAGCTTCTTTCATAGTAAAAATCATCATATAAATATCTTTACATGCCTCTGTCACCAGCAGAATCATCAAATTTTAGAAAGTTTTTCAGTAAAGTCTGTCATCATCAGCGGTTATAATTTAAGCTTATTTATGGTTCATGTACAGTACAGATCACTTGCTCACATGCTGTCTAATATGCTTTTTTTTTTTACAAAGAGCAACTTACTTTTAATCTAAACCTATTTATTAGTGTCTAAATATAAGCTTAGCACATTAACTCACAAAGATCTCAGACGACCCAAGACTGTTCTGCAAATAATTTTTTTGCAAGCTGATGCAACATATTTTACTTGACCTGGACAACATTTGCATCATTATAATGATTTAGAACTTTATCTTCAACATCTGACCACTGTTTGTGATAAAAACCCCATCAGCGATCAGATGTGCAAAATTAATAATTGTTAACATGTCATATGTCATATGTTGTACAGTAAAACAGCTCATCAATATACTGTATATATATATAGCTTTTATGCACTTTATTTGGAAAAATGTTTTTTTGCCCGTTTATTTAATTTGTGTTATGCAGAATTTTTTTGTAAGATCATTTGCTGCTCATTTGTCAGTCAGATCATGTTTTGATAACTAACTCTTCTTCTCCAATTACATTTTTTTTCTCCAGTCTCAGTTGTACTGCAGAGTGTAAACAAATACAGAGAAACAACTCTACATATAAAAGATGAAGCTTACAAGGGAATGATTTGCGTATGGATTTAATGCGGTTTTGGGAGATTTATATTAATCATTATATTAAAAAAGAAGATATTTACATTTGTCAAAAGAGACAATGTGACTGTGAATATACAATCAGCTTAAAATACAAAATTTTAGAGGTTATATGAGCAATTCTGTGTAAATGTCAACCTTGCCATGAAAAAAAATTGGTTTTCACCAAAATACAGAAACGGTTTCTAAGTTTTTTGGGTAAGAAAGTACTTTAGAAATACTCAAAAATGCATTTGTCAATGTTTTCAAACTATTCTATTTGATTAACCAAAATCACACAAGTGGCAATTTCTGAAATTCTGTCACATCTATAAAGGAGAGATGTCACATCCATAACGACACTTTTTCCTCATAAATGTGACAAAATTAAATATAATAAAATCGATATTTTTTTTATATAGAGAGCCAACTCTTATCCTTTTGATTACCATTGTCTGTTTTGGGTTGTGCAGTTTAATTCACAGAATTTCTACAAAGTATGTTGTATACTGTAAAGCCGCAGACTTTTTTTGACACATCCATAATGCATGTTTAGTTTCCTCATTTAAAATATAAAACATGTTTACAGATCGATATTTTTCTGGTCCCTTAACTCTGTGGTCAATTGCTCTGTAAAATATAACCTAAAGTATTAATATAATGTTAACTTCTGCTTTCTATGTGAATTTATGTTTTGAGATTTCACTGCAAATGTCACAAACATAGCACTGTAATTATATATTGTGTGTGTGTGTGTTTTTACAATTTCAAGCTCAACATGGAAGCAGAAAAAAGAATAAATAACCATAACAATATAAAAATTATATTCATGTTAAGCCTACATGCTAACTTTTAAGCTGCGCTGAAATGTTTGATATGTATTCCTTGCTATGTTATTGGGCTATATAGTTGTATTACAATGAACTTAATATCATTTTTTTTGTATCTACCGTAATTAGAAGAAATGTTTTGTGAATATATTTTTTCTTACAGTGATTGCAATTTACTGTTTTGCACCATGAGCCTTCACCTAAAATGCCTTTTCATAATTCTGTTTACTATGATGAAAGTCTCTCAACAAACGTACTGTAACACTTTACAATTTTGGACAGTATTATTGTAATGTAAAAAAAAAAAAAACATATTTAGCAAGTAATGCATGTATTGTGAATGAACAAAATGTGCACTGAAAGGACATTATAAATAAATAAAGGCTTAGCACTTCTTGAAACCTAAATCTCTGAGTTTTTTTTATAAAGCAGTTATCAAATATATAAAGACAGCAGCTGAACCAGATTGAATCACTATAGACATCAAGAAAAGCAGAGATCTCTGTCTGGACTTTAGAAACTAGAGGGCAAACCTGAGCCTCATATATGAAGTGATAAATAATTATGCAAACAGACATTTTCTAAATCTATATTGTACTCTTATAAACTAAGCAGGTTACAATGTGAAGATTGTGTGTTTTTCCACTTAACCATGTCCTTTCCACAATAACTGACTATATGCCTACCAACCAGCCTTTATCGCTTTTTATTGATATTCATGCAGTAAGATGCTATAAATATTTTAAGTAAAAATTTAACTCACCTATTAATGTTGGCTTTATGAACTTGATGTAAAAGCCATCCTGTTGCTTCTGACCAGTTTGGAAAATCTTTTCTCCTCAAAACTGTTGCCGCATGATTTGCTATCAGACATTTACAAACATTTCCACGGTGACAAAGTGAAACACTCAATGGTGATTGGCTGACTTTTTACGACAGGAAATGCGACGAATCAGGAATGTAATTGAATCGGCAGATTCGAAAAATTCGCTAAACAGCAGGAAATGCTAATTGCTAAACAAAAAAATTGTGAATGATCTGTATCTGTTGTTAAAATACCAGTTTAGCCTAAATTATCCACGGTTGTAAAACTAGGATTAAAATAGGTCTAAACATAGATTCTGGATGTATTGCATCTATGTTTTAGGCCTATGTTTTAAACTAGTTTCACAATGACTTTGTAACCCTGCTGAAAAATCTAGCCTAAACCAGCCTAGGCTGGTTGGCTGGTTTTAGCTGGTCGACCAGGCTGGTTTTAGAGGGGTTTTGGCCACTTCCAGGCTGGTTTCCAGCCATTTCCAGCCTGGTCTTAGCTGGTCAGGCTGGAAAATGACTAGCTAAATCCAGCTAAAACCAGCTTGACCAGCCTGGTTTAAGCTGGACATAGCTGGTTTTGGCTGGGCTCCCAGCCTGGCTAGGCTGGTCAAGCGGGTTTTAGCTGGTCATCTCCCAGCCTAACCAGCTAAGACCAGGCTGGAAATGGCTGAAAATCAGCCTGGAAGTGGCCAAAACCTCTCTAAAACCAGCCTGGTTGACCAGCTAAAACCAGCCAACCAGCCTAGGCTGGTTTAAGCTGGATTTTCAGCAGGGTGGTTGAACAGCAGCCTGGTTTTAAAGGGGTTTTGGCCATTTCCAGGCTATTACAGCAATTTACAACCTGGTCCTAACTGGTCAGCTCTGGAAAATGACTAGCTAAATTCAGCTAAAACCAGCCTAACACAGCTGGTTTTGGCTGGGCTCCCAGACTGGCTAGGCTGGTTGAGCTGGTTTCAGCTGTCATCTCCCAGCCTAAGACTAGGCTGGAAATGGCCCAAACCCCTCTAAAACCAGCCTGGTTGACCTGGTTTACCATAGACTGTAAAATATATAGACGTAGTATCCGTGACGTCACCCATAGGTTTCTAAGGAGCGCAAAAGAAGCCACAAGTTTCTAAATAAAAGTTTGTTTGAAAAAAAAATAAAATAAAATATATTTTACATTTTACATATATATAAAAAAGAAGCCACAAGTAGGCGCGGCCAACCGTCGCCATTTTGTTCGCGCGTCATCAGACCCACGGCGGGATACCAAACAAGGGCAAAGAGGCGGAGAGTGAGCGGAGCTACACCTGCTGGCATTTAGCTTGGACCTAATACACAGAGCCACTAAACATTGTTCTTATGACGTTTTACAACAGGAGGAAAACGTGAATTACTTCCAAACACTTCAGATATAGTCTGTGTTAGTTAATGTAAGACTATTGATGACATCTAGCATAACACTGTATGACAACGCTTCAGATGACTGTTATAGAGCCCACAGCTAATCAATCTGTCAGATTCTGGAGTGCATTACAGCTCTAAATATAAATATAAACGATAAATGATCTTAAATACAACAAATACATGAACAGAGATGGTGTATATAACTTTACTCACATGGGAAACGGAGGCCACGTGAATGGTTTGTGAGCACAATTAAGTGCACTCAGCATGTCATCTAATAATTGTAGGAAACAAGTCCAAAAGGCAGTTGACTGTGTAAAGCCACATAAAACAACACAGAAATACGATAAATATGCCGAGTTCAGTGGCTAATCTGCAGGTTTCAGCTGAGGTGACGTGACGGCGACCAACGAGACCTAGCTGTCACTCAAGTGGCCACGCCCTTAATTATGCAAACTTAATATAACTTAATATTAAGGAAACGGATAAGTTATAAAAAAATTCACTCCCCTCACAGTTGTCATGAAAGGTAATATTAGCTGTATTAACCAAAACCTTTTTTTGTACCAGGCTGCCTTTTTTCTGCTGTTGGCCATTCCAATTTGCTCTGTTTTGGAGCCAGGAGCGGCCAGCAGGACTAGCGGAATTTCGGATGAATTGCAGTTTTAGTTACTTCCGTATTGGCTTCCTGAGGCTAGAGCGGGAGGTAGTCTCTTGGCTAAAAGCAGCCGACCAGGTCCGTGTATCATCCGTTCATTTGATTATTCCTTTTATTACGGAAAACGAAACATCAGAAAAACGATGAATATTTCGTTTTTCTGTTTATTCTGTAGGCAGAAAAAACGGAAACTCATCTGTTATTCTGCTTATTAACTTAAAACGAAATATTAAAACAAACACAAAACCAAAACGAAATAATGAGTCAAAATATGGTCCGTGTGTACGTTTTGTTCATTTGTTTCCCATTTTCAAACTGAATAAAGGAAATGGAGAAAACGGCCGTTTTTCCGTTTTTCTTTTGCTCACGAGAAAACGAAAAAACGAGATTTTGGCTGGATTTTCGTTTTTTGGTTTAGGGTAGGAAAACGGATAAACGACTTTAAAATTCATTTTACACATGTAGGCGGTGCTGAAACGCCCACTTTCCTCTAATTGGTTAACCAAATCTGCGCTCGTGACGTCACCCTCAAAATAAAAGCCTTACACGCAGGCTTTTAATTATTATTATTTAATTATATATATAAACAAAGTTTACATATTCTATCATTTGAACCACACACAGTTAGCAGGCTTACATTCATTGCGTATGTATAAACTAAATAACGTAAATCAGCAGTATTTTTAGACATTTGTCATTAAAATAAGGTCAGTTCACTGCCAAACTTCTTGCTGCTGTGCACCTGATGCTGAGCAAAGAAAGCCATTTCCGAGCAGCACCTGGTTTGCATGACTGTTTCAGAGCAAGGGCTTTATAATAATAATAATAATAATAATAATGATAATTATAATAATTATTATTATTATTATTATTATTATTATCAGTTACTAGTGTTTTTATTGTTTGGTGTGTTTTTTTTCTTCTTTTTAATAGTTGTTACCAGAACCAGAATAAGAACACTTTAGCCCTGCTATAAAAACAAAGGGTACCATTTGTTTTCATTTATTTCTTCCTATTTTAATTATATATTGTAATTATTTATTTGATAATTAATACTATTTTATTGCAACGCCAAAGTAGGCCTGTCTTATTATTTTTTTTATTATTAAATTTGCTGTTATTGTAGGCTAGATGGCAGGCTTTAAATATTTTAAATAACATTTACTCATAACCTTACTAATTCGAGAGCCGAACCTAAAAAAGTTTAAGTGCAATAAGCCTGTACAATAAAGGGAGCCGCAATGCACATTTCTAGCGCATTCTTTCACTCAACAATTATTGCTGGAATAATGAAATTATTTTAGTTGATAAAAAAATTGTGTCTAGTAGTTCCGACAAACAGATGAGCTCGCTGCATGTGCGTTGCGCTACTAATTTGACATTTGCTCTTCTTGAGAAAGTGCTACAGCGGGCCCTGCTATTTCACATATAAGGTTAGTGATACGTATTTTAAATTAGTATTGCACATTATTCATTCATTTTCTTGTCGGCTTAGTCCCTTTATTAATCTGGGGTCGCCACAGCGGAATGAACCGCCAACTTATTTAGCAAGTTTTTATGCAGCGGATGCCCTTCCAGCCACAACCCATCTCTGGGAAACATCCACACATACACACACACTTATACAGTATGGACAATTTAGCCTACCCAATTCACCTGTACCGCATGTCTTTTTACTGTGGGGAAAACCGGAGCACCCGGAGGAAACCCACGCGAACGCACTACACTACTGAATTAGACACACAATCTCAAAAAAAAAACTTGATGCTTATTTACATTATCTAAAGTCATTTCTGAGGTAGGATCTGTTGTTGTATTATATATTTTCGTTTTAATATGCAAATAATTTTCTTTAATTTGTAATAGGTCCCTCATTGCATAAAATAACCAGCCTTTGTATTCAATATGTTTGTAAATTGTCCATCCAGTTTGACGCAAGCTAAACAACATTTTGGCCTGTTTTGCTTATTAAATGAGTGATTTTCACGGAGAAACAAATCATCCATCCACACAGTTTTGTATAGGACCTGTGTGAACAAAAATGTACACTTCATCATAGCCTATAGGAAAATGTATCTGTTTAGAACCAATTTTGTGTTGTATAATTAAAAATATTAAAAATACAATAAAAATAAAAAGAAGGAATAACATTTGAAGTGCAATGCTTCAAAGATCCAATACGCTGCATGCAGAGCCAAAACAAAAACTGGTTTGTTTGTTTAATAAAATAATAATATGAAATTAAAGTGAAATAGTTCCATAACCTGTATTATAACTGTAGTCATGTAGAATGTGCCAGAACCAAATGAGAATATTTACAGATTACCTCGGAATGAGACCTCGGTCTGTGAAGGATGCAGAACACAGAAACTCGCTGAGAATGGAGATGCATGTTAGATGTTTTATATCCCTTTAGATATTGTAAATAAACAACTAGTTTTTATAGAGATCGTGTCATGTCTTTTCTTTGACGCACGCGGTGAACAGCCTGTAGCCTAAATAATAGTTTAGATTTTATAACATATAATGTTCCATTACTTTAAATGTATAATGTTTTTTAATATTTATGGATTATATAAAATATATAGTTTATATAAATGCGCTCTGATCATTCAAGGATCATAATGCGTTGCATATTCTTCTTATTCTTCATTAGGCTTGATCCGTAAATTGTGTATTTTATAAACTGATCGTTTATAAGGACTAAGCTATTAATAACTGTAATTCCTCGAATGGAAAAGTCTTGATTAAAGAAAAAGAGAACTTAATTCGACATATGCATATAGTGCGCTTATTTCTGCGCGCATCGCGCGCTTTACCGAATTACCTTTTTTATTTTTTATGCATTATAAATGCATCTGGCAGCACCGAAAAGAGCAAATGCCAAGTTATTAGCGCAGCGCACAGACAGCTAGCTCGTCTAGTCTGAACCAGGGGTTTTCAAACTATTCATTGCACACCCATTGCATCCCAGACAGCACACATACGTTGGGCCGACGTCGTGCCGATTTTCAAAATTCCATCGGTGCGATGTCGCTCAGGGAGCGTTTGCTAATTGGCAAAATGTCGCCGCGACGTCGGCAAATGATCGGAAACGCTGTCCGGCCGATGTTAGGACGACGCAACCGGAAATACCGGCCGCTCCGCGGAGGCGCTGTTCTCAGGCGTTTTACTCATACTTATGGACCACTAGCTGCAGCAGCAGCTTATTTATAATAAACACGACACACCACTCTCAATAACAGTTGAAGATTTATTAATATTTTCACAAACATACAGATAGATTAACATACTTTTATCACACATAACCATGTTTTACCACGTTTAAAACAAAACCAGCAAGTTGTACTATAACCATGGCTGAACTACTGTGCAATAAAGATTTTAAATACAAAGTCCATTGCAGCATTTAACATTAAGACCATAGGAATATTTAAAAGTACTTCAAAACATGTACACTAAGGGTGACTATAGTTTACTATAGTAAAAACACAAATAACTTGTGTAAGCACATGTTATAATGCTTATAATGTCTTAAATAGTGTTAAAGAAAATGCATGTTTCCAAGACTATAATTTTAAAATACAAGATAATACCAGTCATGTGTTCATTATCCAAAAGACTTTCCTCAGGGAGTTACAATAATAAAAGACTACACAAACACAAAATAAATACCAAGCAAACAATATTTACAGTAGTAAATAAAATCATACAAATAAAATTAATTGTCTGATAAAATCTTATTAAAGTCTGTAGTTAATTTATTTTTTTTTACAATTTTTTTATAAACGGCATTCAACAATTTGCAATCTCCTCTGAACTAATAACACATCAATAATATAAAATAACAATACTTTCTCAGAGATAACCAGTTTTTTTAAGCAAACTCTAATGCACGACACAAAACAGATTTTGTCATTATATATATATATATATATATATATATATATATATATATATATATATATATATATATATATATATATATAATCCCTTAATTTCTGTTTAACAGAAATATTTTTTAACACATTTCTAATCACAATAGTTTTAATAACTCATTTCTAATAACTGAGTAAATAATATTTGACTAGATATTCTTCAAGACACTTCTATACAGCCTAAAGTGACATTTAAAGGCTTAACTAGGTTAATTAGCTTAACTAGGCAGGTTAGGGTAATTAGGCAAGTTATTGTATATCGATGGTTTGTTCTGTAGACAGTAAAAAAAAATTGCTTAAAGGGGCTGATAACATTGACCTTAAAATGTTTTTTTTAAAAATTCAAAACTGTTTTTATTCTAGCCGAAATAAGCATTTCTCCAGAAGAAAACATAACATTTTCTTGCTCTGACCTATATATATATATATATAAATATATATATATATATATATATAACTGTTTGTAAATTGTGTACAATGTTCCAAGAAAACAGACAAAATTAACAGATATAACCTGTCATTTAGTTTTGTTTTATCTTGTGGAATGTTGCTTACACATAAAAGGGGATAAATAGGTGGAATAAAAAGTGTGTTGCCATCCTCTAAATTGTTCTTGTATGTTGTCTTCAACTTTAGTCTTCACAAGTGAGGCTGGCCCAAACCGGGACTGCAGTAGCCAAATCTAATCCTTGTAGTGGGAACCCTTAAATAAAGCAAGAAACCAAAAGGAGAAAGATTAGGATTGCAGCAGTTCATATTACCACAAATATATATTATTTGTTTCATGACATATAACTGGAGTATGTGTTATGCAAGTGCCTAGCTAAAATGTGTAATTTAATTTAACCTTAAAGAGTGTGTCTGAGCACTAATTTTCAGAAAAGCCATTTGAAAGTTAAATTCCTTGTGAAATCATAATGAATGTTTTTTTTTTGGTTTTTAGTATCATTGTGTTAGTATAAATGTGTATCTTAATATATGTCAAATCTTCAGATACCACATTACATGCAAATTAAACTAAGTTTCGTCAACTAAAATGTCACACTGCACACCACATTTAATATATCATAGCTAGGGCCAGGAGGAATCTGCAGATGTTTTTTGCTATTTCTGCTGAAAATTTTGGTGGAAGTCTGTGGATTTCTGCGGAATTATTTTGGGAGTATTATAACTAAAACCTTAATATATGAAATATAAAAATAATATATTTTAAGTTTTATTTAATGTTTAAAATGCAAATCCAATTAGATTCACTTTATTTGGTAAATAAAGCAAGTTTTTCATATAACATATCTAGTAAGACAGAAAATATTACTGTACAAACCTCATTGTACATAAATCAGATTAACATTTTCACATTAGTCAATAATATTACTGAAATTAATTAAAAAACTGAATAAATATAGATTTACACACGTTTACTCGAGTAAATAAACAGAATTAATGATAGGCTAAACATCTGCAGAGTTCAGCGAAAAATCCGGGTGAGCCTAATCATAGCTTTATTTCTGCTACAAAAAGGTTTTTCAGCAAACAACTTCTATTATATGCAGGCTATAGAGGAGGATATATAAAGAAATTATATATTCAACTCTCTAATTAAATGCACCTGATGCAGCTAATCGAGTCTTTTAGGCTTATTTGAAAACTTAAATGACGTGTTGGACCACAGTTGGACAACGCTCAGTGAGAATACTTTTTTGCACAAATTCTTTTTGTTCTAAAGAAACATGTCTGATTGTTAGCAATCATCAAAGAGCAAACTTTTTTATTTTTTTCAAATAAATACTATGCTCTTAAAAATAAACTTTTCATGCATCAAAAATACTAAAAATATGTTTATTTAAAATGTTTTATATTAAAAAAAAAACAGCTTGAGGAGAGAATCAGTACATTGGAATACTATTTTTTCAGAAGGATCATGTGACACTATTAATTATATACATTGTATTAAATTCACAGTATTACTGCTTGACTGTATTAATTAAATAAAGCTGACACTATCAGAAGAGAATTTACCATACCAACCTAAAAGCTTTGAACAGTAGTGTATGTTTAAGATGTTACTTACCAGTCCTATTGTACTTTGGAGGTTGTCTGACAGGAGGATCCCTTCAACGCAGCAGAATTCTCAGCAGACCATCAGCGTACACCAATCTAAGAATAAAATAAGCAATTTTTTAAAAACCGAAAATACATATATTTTATATTTCCAGGTTTATAGGAAAGAAGAAAGCTAAAGCAAATTTAAAATGTAGAAAAAAAATAAAACCTATTGACAATTTAATGGCACAACATACCCCAAACTAAGCACGCTCAAATGGTTAATTTACATAAATGACAACTGCTGCTCATTATACCAATATTAACTGTTAAGGATTCATTCATTCATTTTCTTTTGGGCTTAGTCCCTTTATTAATCTGGCGTCACCACAGCGGAATGAAAGGCCAACTTATCCAGCATATGTTTTACGCAGCGGATGCCCTTCCAGCTGCAACCAATACACACTCATTCACACACACTTATACACTATGGTCAATTTTAGCATACCCAATTCACCTATGTCTTTGGACTTGGGAAAACCGGAGCACCCGGAGGAAACCCACGCCAACACGGGGAGAGCATGCAAACTTCACACAGAAACGCTAACTGCCCCAGCCGAAGCTCGAAGCAGCGACCTTCTTGCTGTGAGGCAAACGTGCTACCCTCTGCGCCACCGTGCTGCCCTGTTAAGGAATCAGATTAATATAAATGAATTGACTTGTTTATTTAGTGTCTGACACATTAAATATTGCATTTTTAAATATTGTTTCATTTTAAGATTTATTTCAGAATAACTATAGTACCTGGATATATCGTCACATTTTCATGCACAGCAGCATTTCCAAAAACATAGAAAAACAGAATATAGGCCAACTGAAAAAAACAAAACAAAAAAAACTGACTGAATGCTTTAAGTAACTGGCTAGGAATGGGCAGGTATAAGATTCTGAGGGTATAATCTTAGATAAAAATATCACAGTTTCACAGTATTGTGATTACTGCTCTGAAATGTGTTTTTTTTATCTCTGTGTAAAAAGCAGCTACTTTTTCCCCATTGAACACAATATGTTTTATTTTAAGAAACATTTAAAATATTTTGTAACAGTAAACGTGCCAGGCTAAATAATAATTTAATAAAATAGTACTATCTTCATTAGACTCAAAAACACTGATTTCTTGTGAAGGCATAATAAGCTATTTGTTTTTCAGATGTTTGCTGAATCGTGAGCTGACCAGTAGCTTTTGATGTGGAGGGTCTTTTGCTGCTGTAGATAATGTTGGACTATTTTTTTAAGTCTTTGATAACGCGCTAAAAACCATATACAATGCATCCGGAAAGTATTGATAGCGCTTCACTTTTTCCACATTTTTAATGTTTCAGTCTTGTTTCAAAATGGATTAATTTCATTAATTTCCTCAAAATTCTACACACAATCCCCATAATGTGTGTTGACCCGATTTTAGTTAATCATTTACAAGTCAATATTGCCTATATAGATAGTGATTTAAAAAAAAAATTTACATGTAAAATTGCAGTGTTAAATGCAATGCCATCAAACATTTTAGACGCACCAGTGCAAAAAGCTAGTCTAGAGCACTTGGAATGCTGGTGTAGTTCTAGTTAAATTCAGTTTAGTTAAAGCTGTATATGCAGCCGGTCTCAAGTATAGGATTTAGTATTTAACTAATCTTAACAACTAAACATTTACGAGTCTGTATTAGCCAGCTCATGCACTACAATGTAACAGATACTGTATATTGCCACCTTGATACTTAAGCTTTTTTTTTTTATATTTTGTGTTCAACCGATTAATTAATTCTTTCATTTAATTTTTTCAGTGCAATAGTATAGCTTACACTGGTGTAATTGTATGTACCCCCCAAAATAGCAGAGGCCACTTTCTGGCCACCCAAGTATAAAATTCTAGCCTAGCCACTGTGAACTACCTGGCTGTCCTGCTCCAGAACTCTTTGTCGGCTGCTTGTATGTCTGGATACAGCTGCACAAGTCTTTTAACACGGACAAATACAGCCTCTGCACATCCTCACAACCAAGAGAACAGAATGATCAGGAGGACCTGAAAAATAAAACCAACTGAAATCAGTTGAAATGTATTTTGTCTTGTGATGATGACACAAAAATATATCTTTTTTTCACAAAGGATGTGCTGTTACCTATGAAACGGTCTATAATGAAAGATCTTTTGATCCTGTTTCCTTGATGTCATTCACTCAGAGATGGTTTGGACATTTGATTGTATCTAAACTGTAAAGAATTTAAGTTACAAAAACATTGATAGCAGGACCATTGATCTTGTAACTTATACAAATTGTTAAGTATTGAACAAGTCTGCAACCAAACTAGTAAAGTTAATAATACTAATCTCAACTCAACTATGATTAGTTGTCTTGTTTCTGCTGCCCAGACGGTCTCTCCACCTGCTGATAAAAAAAGGAAAAAGTGTGGTATTTTTACAACAATGAAACTGCAAACAACTTAACTATAAGGGGGTAAGCAGTGAGCATCGTTTATTATAAGCAATTTACTGAATACTTTGTCACTGGTATTACCTAAAAACCAAACGTCCTAAATTTGGCTCATAGCTGTCCACACATCTGCCCAGTAGCTTGTGGTACTACTGAAGACACTGATCAGCTGGTCCAAACTGAGTTTAGAGTTGAACTGCAATCAGGCATCCAATACTGCAAAGAAAGAGAAACTCACTTTGGGTTAACAAATAATGTAATCCCATCCACACATTTCAAGTAATTGTGCAGTTAATTCTCTTATTGAATTTTCTGAGAGCTTATGAATATATTTTGTCTTCCCAAAATAGCATGTACTGAAACACAACATTATATAAATATAATTTAATAAGAGCATGAAGTGGTGGCACAATAGGTAGTGCTGTTGCCTTACAGCAAGGATGCTGACTCGAGCCTCAGCTGGATCAGCTGGCATTTCTGTGTGGAGTTTGCAAATTCTCCCTGCATTTGCATGGGTTTTCTCTGGGTGCTCCGGTTTTGCCTACAAGTCCAAAGACATGGGGTACAGGTGAATTGGGTAGGCTAAATTGTCTGTAGTGTATGAGTGAGAATAAGCGTATATGGTTGTTTCCCAGTGATGGGTTGCAGCTGGAAGGGCATCCACTGCGTAAAACATATGCTGGATAAGTTGACAGTTCATTCCGCTGTGGTTACCCCAGGTTAATAAAGGGACTAAGCAGAAAAGAAAATGAATGAATGAATGAATGAATTTAATAAGAGTTAAACTGATCTGTTAACATGTGTGTCAGGAGCTGATCTATCTTATAATTAATTTTTTGCCTAATTTTTTAACAGGTAAATCAATATATATATATATATATGTACAAAAAATGGTTCCAGTAGTAACGCTCCTTAAAGTTAAACTACATATTCACATTCCTCATCTGTCTACTGTTGCATTATACTGATCACTGTTACATACAGTGGCCGAGAGTAATAAAACACAGAAAAAGAAGACAGCTTTGTCACTTTTTCTATGCTGTTTGTGAGATTGTGTATGTTGTCAAACTGATGAAAATGTTTTCTCAATTTACTTTAACATTTTTGTGTTTTTTTATGTTTTTATAACTTGCAGCCGTTGTTAAATTTAAAAGTATTTTAAACATGGATGGACATCTAAATGCATATAGGGCACATATCTCAAAACATTATGAAATATTTTCAGATAAATCAATTTTGAATTAAAATGTATATTAATCTCCAGACTTGCATCTTCCTGATCTTTTTAAAAGAACGGCCCCTCGTTTGCTCATCAGTGTTTGACAAGTGTCTGGCAGTCAGTCAAAAATATACTTGCATATAAAGATGTTCATCAGCTACACGGCACTTAGGTTAAACTTTGACCTCCTTTTCAGTTGATGTGGAAAACAAAAGCAAAAGAAAGAAAAAACAAAACGACTGAATACAAGTTGCATATCATGCCTGTACAAATCAAAAATTATTCATTTAGGGCTTAAATTGACTTGTTTGAGGATGAGTTAAGGTGTAAGGGATGGGTGAACAATGTAAATATACATGTAATTCATAGCTATGATGTAAAGCTAAATTTTCAGCATCATTACTCAAGTCTTCAGTGTCACTTGATCTTTCAGAAATCTTTTTTTAAGATGTTGATTTAGTGCTTGAGGTTGAACTAATATAATGGTGATTATCAAATGGTGCTGATTTGCTGCTCAAGAAACATTTCGGATTGCTATCAATGCTAAAAACAGATGTGATGACAAATAATTTAGTGTAAACTTTTTTCTAAGATTTAATAAATCAATTAATCATAAAAAATTAAACAAAATGAAAATCACAAATATTACTTCATTAGCAGCAAATCTATATATTTACTAAGTTCTGAAGAATCATGTGATGTGAAATTTAATACCACTAACATGTTTCAATGTCAAAACTTTCTTAAAACAACTGCAATAAAGACAAGTAACAGATGCATAATATATAGACATGTAACATGTGCATAATGATGTGCAATGGAAATTCATATGAATTAATCCTCTGCTTAAAGTTACCTGTCTTTCCTGCATCTCTGTGATCAGCTCCCTTCAGAAATTTAGGAATCTTGAGTTATATTTTTTGTAGCAGGAGGTTATTCTCTCACTCCTGAAACCACAGAACACTTTTTTACTTAACATTTAGTTTAAGATACCATGAAATATCAAAACACGATTGAACTTTTGATTCACGGTCCTTTACAGTAACGTTACAATGCGTATTTTAGACTACATATGGAGTGCATTCAATAAAACATTGACAAAACCTCTCATCTACACATAAAGAATAAATAAAAGCCAAAACTTTAACAAACAAGTTTAACAAGAGCTAACATTAAGTAAGTTAACGTAATATTACCCCGACGCTAACGTTACCAGTGCTAATATGCTAACGGACTTTTACGAAGACTTACCACTCTTATATAACATAATATTCAACTGAATATTCATCAATTGCCAATAATAAATGTGTGAGGAACAGTTTTATGTAGTATTTGCTTTGTTTTAGGCACTAAACTTACCTGAAAACAGTCAAAACGGCAGCTTGAGAGAAGTCGTGTTGTGTCTTTTAGGTGGTGTCGTGTCGTGTTGTAGCTTCGTTTCCCATAGCAACATCCTCTCCGCTCCAGAGTTGGAATGAGACGCGCGCGCGCACATCAAAGTCATGCAGTATTACATTTATAAACATGACCACTCCATAGACAATTTAAATAATAACCTTGTATTTTAAATCTTGAATTTAAAATGTATTTAGCAGTTTTATATACGCTATTATCTTTAAGACGAGCTTTATAGCCTACTAAACTGTTACAAAACAAACACTTTATTTGTGCATTCACTGTCAAAAATAAATAACCAATAAATAAAAATGCAAGTATATATAAAACAAAGATGTCACTCTGTAAAAAGGTGTTTATTTTAATTAAACAGCCGAAATGCAGAACATACTTGATTTTTACACTGGGAAAAATGTATTAGAAAAAGCCACAATAAAAAAAAGCAAACAGCAGTTAACACCAGAAAAAAACAACGTTTTCATTATTAAAGCTTAACAATAAAACTTTTTATACTTTTAGGCATTTTGGTCAGTTTTACTGCATTAATGTAGGCTATTTAAAGCTGGACCGACCGACGCAGTTCACATGATGCATGTCGCGTTTGTCTAATTTATTATGCACGCAAAAACTTACTTGTAAACCAAATATGTTGCCGGATTCTTTCATGGGCATGAGAGATCAAGTGCTTATGAAGTGCTTCGTCGGCCTCTGGTCGTTAACCGACGCAGAGCCGACGTTTGTTGAGCTGGAACAATAGAACACACGACCGAACGATCATGCGTATGTTTGGCCGACCATATACCGATGTTAGAATTAAAGGGGCCGACGTGTTGACCTTCGGCCGACGTCGGCCCAACGTATGTGTGCTGTCTGGGATTTTATTTAGGATAAACCACTTATTTAAAATTAATTAATTAAAAGGTGCGTACTCTCCAATACACCACTTTAGTGTCATAATATTTAATAATTATTATTAAGATAGACACCTGACCTCCATTTAATAAACAATTTATTTGCCATCCTCTGTTAATTTGAAGTTTAAAGTTTAAATCATTTATGTTAAACTTAAATTATTTAAAAACTTAAAAAGACTTAAATTTAGTCATTTAAGACATTTTAGGTCATAAGTTTACATACATTGACCGTTGCATTTAGTAGGCCTATTCTGGTCTAAATAAGCTTTTTGCATCTTTGGTGTTTACACACACAAATTAAGCAGTTTATACGTACATTTAATGTTACTTTGAATTACTTTTGATGCAATAAATAATCCTAAATAGTTGAAAGTGTTAACATATTCTTGAAATGTAGTTATTTTATAACTATGAAATTTATTACTAAACAAAGTGAATCATTATGAATTTGCCAAGAAATAATCCACTTTACCACCGTACAGCCATGCCCCACACTCACTAGAACGGTAGAACCTGGACTGTATGATATGTTCTGTATGTAAAATAGAGAAAATAAGCAAGATGCGCAGTCTCATGCAGCCTTAGTGAAATATAGCGCGTCACAGCAATGAACTAAAAATAAAACCACCCTTGAAATGCTGGCGATCTTAATTTTTTCAGCCTACACTGACTGAGAATAATGTTGCACTATTTTATTAACAAATAATTAGAATGTTTTTTTTCCCTTCAACACATTCATCATTACTTTTGCCTGTGCAAGTTTTTTGCGCGCGCTTGAGCGCGAAGGCATCTATTTTCAGGTGCAAGATGCCACTTTGGGTGGCACCAGCACACTCTGCCACACCTGTGGCTATGTTCCTGCTACAATAATAATAACAACAACAACGACAAAATAATAACAAATAATAATAATAATAAGACAGGCCTACTTTGACGTTGCAATAAAAAAGTATTAATTATCAAATAAATATTTACAATAGGCTAAAGGCATATATTAAATTAAAATAGGAGAAAATCCAATAGAAACAAATGGTACCATTTATTATAGCCCCATGCAGGGTCCATTGTGTTCTTACAACCATTAAATAACTAAGTAAATAATAATAATAACAATACTAATAATAATAGGCCTAATAATAATAATAATAATAATAATAATAATAATAATAATAATAATAATAATAATAATAAATTATTATTTTATACAGAGTAGGCTATTATTTAGGCCTACAATAGCTCTGAAACAATCATGTAAACCAGGTGCTGCTCGGAAATGGCTTTCTTTGCTCAGCATCAGGTGCACAGCAGCAAGAAGCTTGGCAGTGAACTATGACCTTATTTTAATGACAAATGTCTAAGAATACTGCTGATTTACGTTTTTATTTAATTTATACATACGTAATGAATGTAAGCCTGCTAACTGTGGTGGTTCAAATGATAGAATATGTAAACTTTGTTTATATATTTAATTAAATAATAATAATTAAAAGCCTGCGTGTAAGGCTTTTATTTTGAGGGTGACGTCACGAGCGCAGATTTGGTTAACCAATTAGAGGAAAGTGGGCGTTTCAGCACCGCCTACATGTGTAAAATGAATTTTAAAGTCGTTTATCCGTTTTCCTACCCTAAACCAAAAAACGAAAATCCAGCCAAAATCTCGTTTTTTCGTTTTCTCGTGAGCAAAAGAAAAACGGAAAAACGGCCGTTTTCTCCATTTCCTTTATTCCGTTTGAAAATGGAAAACAAATGAACAAAACGTACACACGG